TAGGTTTATTTAGAATGATCCTTTGATTTAATTTACTAAGTATTCAACTAAACATGAAAAATTCATCTTAATACAAATACCATGAGTGAATAATATAGAAAAATAAAACATGAAATTGGGACTTTGGGGATTTAAAATCAGGACTTAGGATATTGAAATTTACTAAGTATTCAACAAAAACATGAAAATACATCTCAAAACAATTATAAAAAGTGACTTATAAAGAGAATTTAGCTTATTGAGCATTATTAAAATGAAAATTAGATATACAAAATCTATAACAAGAAAAAAATAAGATATATTTGAAAGATTGAAACCCATACCTCAATTGCAAAGGGAAGTGGTTTGAGAGAACAAAGAAGGTGATAATGTTTACAGGGAGAGAAGAAATTAAAGCAAATAGGTGGTGAATTGATTTAAATGAGTGAACCGACTCCAGCACTGCAGAAGCAAGAGGGGAAGAGGAAGATGTAGAGTTTGGCTTTGGCGTGGGAAACATGGAGCAATGAATATTGGAACTAGATAACTGAGGTGGAAGATGTAGAGTTTGAAGGAGAATCATGAGTGGAAGTTTGGAAGATGTAGAGTTTCTGAGTTGTGTTGTGCCGTTGTGCGTGGTTCTCCTGGTGGCTGGAGTAATGAACATGAAACTAGGGATTAGGAATTTTGGGGAAAATGAATTGTTAATTAATAATAAATGAGTTTTTAAAAATTAATATTTAAGATTATTTTTTTTCTTAAAAGGGGTTAACGGGTTAACCCGTTAACCCGCGGGTTAACCCATCCATGACCCGTGATCTTTTCGGGTCAATTTTTCGGGTTGTCAACGGGTCACGGGTTAAGATATGTAAACCCTAACCCGTTTTTACAGGTCGGGTTTTGGTCGGGTTCACGGGTCGGGTTAATTTTTGCCAGGTCTAACTGTACTGTACTTTTGTATTTACTAATTATTCTTGTAGCTAAAATTTGCGTCATAAATCTAAGACATAGGAAATGCTTTTCCATCAACTGTCATTAAATGTTTAAAAATTCAAATTTCACTTTTTTTTTTTTTAGAATTGTGGATTGATCAAAGAATGCGATTTTTTGTTTCCCCATCATGTCTTCCAGTTAAACTCTTCCCCTTTGTTTGCTTTTGTTTTTGTTTAGGGCAATTTTTGAAAGACACCTTTGTTATTTAGTAATGGTGTTATACTAGGTTAGTTCAGCAAATAACCCTACTACTATATTCAAGCTTTGTGCCATTTTACTGCCCTAGCAGTAGAATAGAAAGAATTTTCTGGGCTTCAGGTTGTCTTATTAGTTATTAGATTATAAGAGAGGGTTAGGATTAGATCATAAGTTTCAGTTGGTAAATAATTAGGTTTGTATTCTTTTTCTCATTGTTTTTGTGGGTGTTTCATCTGAAAGTTCAGGTTTAAAGCTTTTATAGAATGCATGGATGCTAAAATTCTTTTGACTTTCCTTGTTCTATGTCCTCTTACTGGTTCACACCCCCTTTTTGATTCTATGCTTCCTTATTTTTTGCAGTTACATACTGTTCTTTGTTTTGAACCATTGAACCATAATGACATATTGATTCTTTAAAGCCACTCCCTGAAAAGCAAAGGCCAATTTCAAAATTATAATTTACCCAATTATGAGTTATTTATTGCCTGATATTTTAGAAGGTTCTGCATGTTGATATTCAGCACAACTTTAGTTATATTTGTATGCTCTGGCTCTAGTCAAATCTATTGCCTGATAGATTGAGGTATAGCCATGGGACTGCAAGCAAAACAGAGTTCAACTAACCATTCTATGATGTAATACTTTTCTTAAGAGGCTATGGGAATAATGATTCCCGTTGGCAAAGAAACCATAGCAATGATGAGTCCTGTAGGCACATTTTGAGATGGTGGCTTTTGCTTTCTTTTCTTGTGTTCTTTTCTTATTCATCTATTAACATGGGAATTTTTCTTATCATCACATCCAGGGAGTGAAGGGGACTCTTTGTTTTCATGATTGAATCGGCCTGTGTTATTGGCTGGAGCAAGATTTGTTAGATGGGCTGGCTTCATTGTGTTATTCTTTGCAAGCCATTGAAGTGTGTCAAAATACTTTTCAAGAACCTTTAACCTCTGGAAAGAAATTAGAGTTTACTGCATTCTCAATATGAACCTGATGTTGGTGATACATTTCACGATATAAGCAAGACATCTTTAGTATTCTTGTAATAATTGTATTATTTCTCTTGTAAGGTTGAGTCCAATCCATGTATTAGGTTAACAGCATGTAATGACCTCATTCGTTTTTGTTTCAAAATGGCTGGCACATTGATAAGCTTTCTAGGAATTTTGTACCAATATTAGGGGTTGATACTTGTTCCTGATTTATACATTTTGTATTATAGCTTACAAAGTTAGCTTTGTGAGCAGAGTTATAGGGGAGCTAGAATTGTAGCGTGGGGTTGCTGTTTTAATGGTAATTGGTCATTGTAACATGTAATTCCCGGTTTCTTTCCAGGGCTTTGTATTTTACTTTGGATTAGGAGTGAGTTGCCTTTTGCTGCTGCATTTTGTATGTGCCAAGCAGAAAATTTTGGGGTATCTTTCTTCTGTATATGGGCATAATGATTTTTTTTGTTGTATTTATTTTCCTTTATTAAAATTTTAGAGTCTACTCCATGAAAGCTGTTTCTTATGTATAATCGCTGTTAAGTTTTGATATATTGATGTTTCCTCTTGTACATCAAGTTGACATTCTCTGTTATTACAGATAAAGTTTTCTGTCATTTTAAGGGTGCCGAGTGTAGCATACAATGTACTGTGTCATCTTTCTTCATTCTTCTTTTACATATTTGTATAGGTACAAGATGTCATTCTCGAAGGTGTTTGTTATCAGATTCCTTTATTTCATTTTAGGATGGTTTCTCTATTTGGTGGCTGAGAAAATCTCCAACTTTGTAAGAGTTATTATACATATAATACATTCTTTGTTGAGCAGCATCCTCTTCCATTATGCTCATGCTTTATCTTAAATCTGTACAGGATCTGTTTTGTGCTAGCTACAAGGTTATTGAATTTATTTTGGTGCTGTTGACCACTTGTATGGTTGTGTTAGCTATTGATCCTCTTTTATAGGGATAGAAAAAATAGATCGTTAAGATTAATTCTTTTTTTTTTTCTGCCTTATTCAGCACAAAATAATCATGCACAATGTTCAAACCAGAATTAAATTTTCAAAAAAAAAAAAAAACAAAAAGGAGCAAAATGCAATCAACAATTAAGTTAACAAATTCCCAAAAAAACATTTTTTTCAAGGCTGCACCAGAGCAACCTTGACTCCATGCATGCAACCAGTTTACAGGACAAAGTAGCTGACCACAGCAGCGGCTCCAACAACAGCAACAGCAGAGATCTCAAGGGCATTTGCACCGCCATGGTTTAGAGGCTGGGCGTACTCACCTACGTGAGCTTTAGCTTTCTCAGCACTGCCAATCGGTGCCTCAATAGCAGAACCGCTGGCACCTGGTGCAGCACCATCGTTGGCACTAGGAGTAGCAGCATCATCATCATCAGTGTTTCCAATGATATCATGGACATTCACGGCGGCATTATCAGCGGTGGCAATGACCATGCCAACAAAGACGAGCAGGAGAACAAGAAGCACAATTTGGCGTGCCATTTTGTTTTTGTTTTTTTTTTGGTTTAAGTACCATTTTGGTCCCTCAACTTTTCATTTTGGTACCAAAATTGTCCCTCACCTTTAAAAAGTACCAAATTTATCCTTGAACTTTCATTTTTGGTACCAAAATAGTCCTTCCGTCAGTTAAATGA